TTTTTGGGAATACATAATTCATTATAAAAATAAATCACTGTGAACAACTGAACATGGTAGGATTCTCAGAACAGAGGGTGCTTGTAATTTCTCTCCTACCAGTACTCTAAGCTGCCTCAGTTCCTTGCTCTGAAGAGCCTAGTTTTGACATACCTAATGGCTCACTACTGGAAAAGAACCAGACAGAGAAAGGCAACCAGAGTTCTACTGCTGAGATCTCAGCTTCATTATGCATGGCACATTCTGTGCTCCTTGGGTCTTAAGGGGTACTAGCTAAAGCAGTGGCCACTATATTTTAGCATACTGTCTTTAAAAAAAAAAAATCTGCCAACAAAATGCCCTACCTTAACTCTATAAAGGGCAACCACTGCTGATGGAAAGGTTGTGGATGAGATACTGACAACACATGCAATTTATCTTTTTCATTTCTAAGGCGTGGCAAAAGTACATTTGACTTACAACAAGCAGAATAGTAGCTGACATGAAATACCTCAGAAAATGTCAGTCTCTTTAAAGACCAAGATCCAAGAGAAAAATTATACTACTATCACGGGGCTGAATTGATAGTTATTCTTTAAGATACACAGATACACACACTTACATATACACCTGCAACAAGATAATGTCTGCTTATATGAAAACCCAAGAATGCGCCTATTTTTTGAACTTAGAAGAAAATAAGGTAAACCAAGACAGTGTGAAAAAGACTTAGCTTCCTGGGCAGACAACCATAGCAGCTGAGGTGATTGGGTTATCTTAGCTGTGCAAAAGGAGTGCTGCCATATTCCAGAGAAACTGAGTTAGTCGCTAAAACATTAAATGGGTAACATTAAACATTAGCATTTGGCTAGGGTCCTGCCCTTCTTGGTACTCCAGATACCTAAATGCTCAGTGGAGTATTAAAAGAGCCTCTGGGAAAAAAACTGGAAGACTTATCTACCAACAACTCTGAAGTGTTCATTGGCTATGAAATGAAAAACCAATCATCTGCCTTCTGAGTGTTATCAATGATACATATAGTTCTTATAGTCACAACTATTAGATCAAGTAACTCTGAAAAGGTATTGATGTTTGATACAGAACAAAGGGAAATACCAGTGAGTTGTCTGGACTATACTAAGCATACCCGAAATCTGAATTTGAGAAGTATAATAGAACTGGGCTCCAAATTAAGTCTCAGTTGCAAACTGGATTAATGGGGGCTAGATTTCTATCTAGAAGAAAAGAAACACTCATCTGTGTTTTATGAGGTTCCTAGTTAAGTATCACAATCAATTATATAATTAAGGCTGTAATCCTCCAGATATAAAATATCACTTTATTTTTTAAAATAAAAAGTAAAAACAAAAACAAACAAACAAAAAAAACCTGTCATGTTACAATTTTGAGATGGTAGCGAGCATCACAAAAATCGAAAGTTCAACAGTCCCAGAAATCCTGGGACTTACTAAGTATATACAATTACAGAAATAGTCTGGAGACAGTAAGGAATATCCAAATAGCAATGCAGAAGACAAACCTTAATGATGATCTCCTTTTTAACCCTTATAAGTGTGGACACTGCATTTCATATTAAGCTCCATGAAAGCAGAAACCTTCATCAATCTTGTGACCATTTCTCCCTTGTACCTAATAAAGTGACTGGAACATAATAAAATGTGTTGAATGAAAGAAGCGAAATTATCTTCTCTAGAATCATATGAAGAAAAAGGTAGAAAGCTAACTATTTTAAGGAACTAAAAGAAAAATGAGGGAAATAATTGTTCTTTCTCAAGTTCTCTTCCCATCCCTTTATATTCACTTTCTAGGAAGTTCAAAAAATAAAGACAACTCTGGATCAATATGCCCAAGATACCCTCTAATATGACAATCGCAACTATTTCACCAAAGTCAGAGAAACATTAGGGTTATCATAACATGCTCAGCTTAATATTCACTACAATTGTACAACAGAGCATGGTAGCATAACAACTGAGAAGCTTTAGGTACTAGTAAAGGGAATTCTGTCTACTAATATCTTTGGAGGGATAGCTTCAAATTTTCACTTTAACTTTCAAGGTTTCCTGCTCAGGTTTACTAAGTTTCCAATACTTCTACAGTGACAGAAGTCTGAATCCCAGAATTCTGCATCTATGTTATTAAATGTCTCAGTTCTGTTTTTCCATGTCTAAATCTAGGAACTTAAAAAATACTAGGAGCTTAATTTCATTTATTTATTTTTGTTGATTTATTTTTGAGACGGAGTCTCACTCTGCTGCCCAGGCTGGAGTGTAGTAGTGCAGTCTCGGCTCACTGCATCCTCCACCTCCCAAGTTCATGCAATTCTCCTGCCTCAGCCTCCCGAGTAGCTTGGATTACAGGCGCCCGCCACCATTCCTGGTTAATTTTTTTGTATTTTTAGTAGAAATGGGGTTTCACCATGTTGGCCAGGCTGATCTTGAACTCCTGACCTCAGGTGATCCGCCTGCCTCAGCCTCCCAAAGTAATGGGATTATAGAGTGGAGCCACCACACCTGGCCAGCAGTTTAATTTTAAACAGTGTGTGACATCTTGCCTTCTTCAAGAAAGCTATTCGGACAACTACATGCGGTTCCTATCAATCTCATCTGTTGCATATTTGAATGCCCAGCGTGCCTAAAACATGACAAGACAAAAGTACCATGAAAATTGTTATTTATGTAGCTCTTTCAGTGAGTGCTTATTTCTTAGGGAGGTTATGAATGAGATTAAGACAGCCAGAGGAGAAACAGCCAAGGCCTGCCCTACTTTTATGTTACTACTGTGTTTACAAAAAGAACTCAGGCCAGATTAGGATGATGCCAAAGAACTTCTGCACATGTATGTTCTTCCTCTCTTGAATAACATGTCTTTTACTCAGTTATGGGTGAACAGATTCTCCTTAACCAAATGGAAAACATCCAATTTACAGATATAAAACTACTCTACAGCTGAGTGGACAGCTTCCAGAAGAAAAGAAAACCTATTTATGCAAAGCACCTCAAAAGATAAAATCTCTAGCAACTGCTACCTAACCTTTCAAGACCTGTTCAGGCACAAGAATGCCCTTTTACAGGAGGAAAGAGATTCAGAGGCTGCTTTAAACCGAAGTTACAAAGCAAAAGCAGAAGGGAAAAGCAGTCAGGTCCACCAATTTTGTAAGTCAATGTAAAAGGTAGGCTTTAGGGGTTCTGATTTGACATTCTAACTATTACATATCAACCTCCCCAAGCTCTCCATTAACCCAAGTAACAGTCTAGTAAGTAAGCAGATATATCAAGAGGCTTTTTGAAATATAAAATGGTTAGTCTGCCACAAGATGGTATTTAAAACATTTCAACAGTACTAACAACTTTCAATATTTAAAAACCCTGAAGAACTCACAGAAAGCCAGGCCATTTTCACTAGAAGTAAACAAGGTACTAGCTTCACTTTAAAATAAACAAATAAAACTTTTGAATAAGTCACACTTTCCAAACAAACTTCATTTACTTAAAAAAATCTCACAAGTAGGTTCTGATAGTTGTTTTTATTGTTGTTGTTGTTTTTTTTTTTTTTTTGAGACAGAGCTCTGGCTCTGTTGCCCAGGCTGGAGTGTAGTGGCGCAATCTTGGCTCACTGCTGCAACCTCTGCTTCCCAGGTTCAAGAGATTCTTGTGCCTCAGCCTCCTGAGTCGCTGGGACTACAGGCGTGCAACACCATGCCTAGCTAATATCTTGTATTTTTAGTACAGACTTGACTTGGCCATGTTGGCCAGCCTGGTCTTGAACTCTTGACCTCAAGTGATCTACCCACCTTTGCCTCCCAAAGTGCTGGGATTACAGGCTTGAGCCACTGCACCCAGCCTCCAAAAGGATTTTTGATCAGTAATACAGCAGGTTTTAAATTCAGAATAGAAACATGATGAATAAAAGCTATCATAAAATAAATTGTTGGTATTTTTAAAAGCAGGCAAAATTGAGCAAAGTGAGAAAGAAATTAGGCAAAGTAAAGTAAATTAGACTTTGAACAAGAATTTCAAGACAGATAGAAAATATGGTTATTTTCCTCTGTTACTATGTACCTCCCAAACTAACAGTGCCCCACTGTTACAACCAAAAAAGAAAGGGAGAAAATGAAAATTTGACAAAATCACAGGTGTCCTGAGTCATCTATAACATCAGGTCAGTCCAGATTATGTATTTGGTCAATGACACACTGAACTTTCCTCCAAAGGAGAGTTATTTCTAAATAAGCCAGAAAAACTAAGAATAACAATTCAATTTGGTACATTCTTACACAAAAGGCTAGTCTAGCCAGTCTCTCCCCATCATAAAGAACTGAATTGGAAAGAACTGAAAAGTAAACCAAGTTAATAAAAGGCCACTTTTACAGGTTTATTTGAGTCCTCAGAGTTTTAAATTATCTCACGTCAAATTAACTTGCTAGACAGGGCACCCCCACAACCACATATTTTTAGTTAAATACTCTCTTTTGCCTAGTTTTCCATCTCTCAGAATTTGTCTACAAGTTCTTGTTAATAATAAGAAAGTTAGAATACCCCCAGCCAGTCAACATAAATTATCATTAGATGTTACAAGAAATACTAAACCCAATCCCTGCTCCCAAAAGTCATTAGAAAATAATTTAAGGCCAGGTGTAGTGGCTCATGCCTGTAATCTCAGCATTTTAGGAAGCCAAAGCAGGAGGATCGTGTGAGCCCAGGAGTTTGAGAACAGCCTGAGCAACATAATGAAACCCCATTTCTACAAAAAATTTTAAAAATTAGCCAGGCATAGTGCAGTGGCTCACACCTGTAATGCCAACTACTCAGGAGGCCAAGGCAAGAGGATCACTTGAGCCCAGGAGGCCAAGATTGCACCACTGCACCCCCAGCCTGAGTGACAGAGTGACACCTTGTCTTGAAAAAAAAATTCAGACACATATATAGACACTATTTTCGAAGAACTATGGTTAACTTATTTCCTTTTTAAAAAAAATTAATTATTTAAAATTTAAAAAAATATATATGGAACGCTTCACAAATTTGTGTGTCATTCTTGTGCAGGGGCCATACTAATCTCTGTATCATTCCAGTTTTAGTGTATGTGCTGCTGAAGCGAGCACTCCTTTTTTATTATTATTATTTTTTGAGACAGAGTCTCACTCTATCACCCAGGCTGGAATGCAGAGGCGTGATTTCAGCTCACTGAAACCTCCACCTCCTGGGTTCCAGCAATTCTCCTGCCTCAGCCTCCCAAGTAGCTGGGATTAAAGAAGCCCACCACCATACCCTACTAATTTTTGTAATTTTAGATGGGGTTTCATCATGTTGGCCAAACTAGTCTTGAACTCCTGATCTCAAGTGATCCCCCGACCTCGGTCTCCCAAAGTGCTGTGATTATAAGCGTGAGCCACCAAACCCAGCCTATGGTTAACTTATTTCTAGTTTGTCTTAAAAAGAGGCTGCAGTACATCAAAACGATGTTTTTCTTATATATATATATTGTTTTTAATTATTTTTTATTTTTTAGTGTTTGTAGAGACAGGATCTCATTACGGTGCTAAAGCTGGTCTTAAACTCCTGGGCTCAAGTGATCCTCCTGCTTTGACCTGTAAAAGTGCTGGGAGGCCATGTGCAAGGATCGCTTGAGCCCAAGAGTTCAAGATTAGCCTGGGCAACAGGGCAACACAGGAAGTCCCCATCTCCACAATTAAAAATTTAGCTGGCACAGTGGTGCATGTCTGTGGTCCCAGCTACTTGGGAGGCTGAGGCAAGAGGAACGCCTGAGCCCAGGAGGTCAAGGCTGTAGTGAACCATGATCACACCACTGCACTCCAGCCTGGGCAACAGAGCAAGATGCTGTCTCAAAAAAAAAAAAAAAAAAAAAAAAAAAGTGCTGGGATTCTGTGTGTGAAACACCATACCCAACCTGTATTCTTTTTTTTAAACGAATAATTTCTCTGTCTCCCATTCTGAGCAAATTCCCGTATTTCCTACCCTATTTTTTCAAAGTGGCATTAATGTCTCAGATAAATTTCAGAGAGAATCATCCTTGTGGCTGCAAAAATAAATAAATAAATAAAATGAGCTTTCAAAAGAACAGATGCTCACAGCTCTTTCCAACTACCTTGTTCTATTCAAGGATATACCTCCTCTAGCCTGCTGGAAATGACTGGAAGATTAATTAGAGCAGAAATAAAATGATGAAGTAAAACTGTACAGGTAGAGACAATACTCCATCATATACAAGTCCAGTTCCTAGTACCAAACCAATATTGGATTGTGTTTAGATGCCATTAAGTCATAGGTGGCTTAGAAGCATAAGACATAAATTCTTCTCCCTACTTTAGAGCAGGAGACACTTCAAATAATGTTTGGTCATCACACCAGGACAAGAAAATGCTACATATCATGTGTAAGAAAAAGCTCCCAGTTACACAGTCATATATATAAGCTAAAACATTACTATTAAGAAAATGAAAACTAGGCAAGGGAAAATTGCCCATTTTGTACTTACCAGAATTCTGGATCCGCCATGTTTTTACAAACTGAGTATCAGGAGGTATTGATTCCCCTTCTCCTATGGTGACATCTTCAACAAAGGACATAGAGGGCACACTGATGTTTGGGCTCTCAAAGTCATAATAGGCGCCAATTGCTGCTTGTAGGTTCCTACAAAAAAAAAAAAAAAAAAAAAAAAGAGAGAGAGAAAAGGCAAAAGACTTCAGTACCATCCAGATTATATTATTCTAATTGTTAAACAAAAGGAAAAATTCTGTTTCTTAGGGTTTGTCACAGATCCTGAGGCTCCTGGTATACAAGTCTTTAAAGTATTGTATTCTGGCTGAGGAACAATAGGAAAAACACCAGGACCAACAAATTTGTGGATCACTTTCTCCCCACATAGAAAGTAACAAACATTAGTAACGTCAGCAACAGTATGAGGAAATCTCCTTTGTTACCCATAGGAAATGGGTAAAGAAATTGATTAAAAGAGCACAGTATAACTATGGAATTCAAACAAAGAAGCACTACTTTTTATCTTGTATTATTATTTTTTAATATTAAAAAGAGAGAGAGGTTTTGCCATATTGCCCAGGCTGATCTTGAACTCCTGAGCTCAAGTGATCCACCCACCTCAGCCTCCCAAAGTGCTAGGATTAATGGCGTGGGCCACTGCTCCCAACCAGAAGCTCTACTTTTTAAAATCAAATAATGCATGCATATAATTTAAAAGTTTCACACAAAGAAAACCATATTATCTTTTTCCCTCAACACACAGACATAACTGTTCATATTACTTTCTTAAATATCCTTCCAGAACTTTCTTACACATATTCAAGCAAGCATGATATACCATCTTGTTTTCCTTTTTTATACAAAAGGTAGCATAATATACAATACCCTTTGCTTTACTCTCTTAATACTCTATCTTGAAGACATCCCCTGTGTTAGCACATAAAGAGGTTCCTCACTGTTTTCTACAGCTGTAACCACTATACAGATGGATCATCACTTAACCAGTCGACTTTTGAATTAGTTTCCAATCATTAACTCTTCCATAAATAAGCTTAAGCACACATAGTTTTTTATACATGCAAGTGCATTTGTGAGATAAAGTCCTATTAAGTGATATGGCTCGGTCAGAGTTCATGGTTTTAATAAATATATCCAAACTTCCCTCAATAAAAGTTGTGCACTAATGCTTCCACCAAGAATGTAAGAGTGTGCCTATTTTCCCCACATGCTCATCAGTGGTGTTTCTCTAACATTTTGAATGTCTCCCATTAATAGGTTCAAAAAATAGTATCTCAGTGAGATCTTGAGAGGTTGAGCATCTTCACACATTTAAGAGGCACTCGTAGTTTCTTTTTTGGAAGTATCATTTGGTAAATGTTGGTGTTCTTTTTAATTACTCATAAATCCCCTTTCATCAGAAGGAACTACCAAGCACATAAACCAGAGTTTCCAACTGAACAGAAGCGCGTGATTGTCAGCTTGGCTGATCAGTGCCAGAAACCAAGGGCCACTAAAGCATTTCAGTAAGCTGTGTTCATTACAGAGATCAAGGAAATTGCTGGTAATTACATTAACTGCTTCTCTTCTGGTCTTACTCAAACGAATGACATCATCCCCACTTCCCACACTATACAACAATCCAAACTGCATGTTTCTAAACATAATCCAACCATAAACCAATGAATCCACTGAGCTGTTTTTAATTATACATAAACATAGCATGAAACAAGCTCTGACAGTACACAACTGATCAACAGAAATGCCAGTAACAGCAAATAATTTTCTGCTGGGGGCCTGCCTGCTCCTCCAGGTGCTTGCAGCTGCCGGAAAGGAAGGCTATATTTAGAGCAGGTACCTGAGGTCAAGCCTCATGCAATCGTGGCCTGGCATATTAGTCAGTAATGACTGGAATTAAAATACCAATGGCCTGCCTATATATGGTATATGTGCTTGATAACATTTACATATAGAGAGCTGGGCTGGGGCCAAACTGGACCTCTTTGCTTGACTCTTCAATATAAAGGGTTGGACTTTTAGTCTTCTCAGCAGTTTCCTATCTAGCTGACAGAGATCTTAAGTGAAGGATGTTTGTGACTGGTCAAACTTGGAGAAGCCTAGCCCTTAACATCCACAAACAAGCTTAGAAGTACATCTGGAATTAGCATTACACTTACGGATCAGGGATAATATGGGAGAAAAACAAGCCTAGTTTGCAATTTGCTCTTTTGAAAACATTTTGGAAAAGCTGTATGTCTACCTTTTTGTAAAGATAATTTTTTTTGCATCAGGTCTTCAACAAGTAGCCTGCTAAATTGTTTTCTGTTCACTTGGCTTTAAAATATGTTTGGGAGTGAAGAAACTATTTGTGCACTCGGGACAACTGCCAATTCTCATCCCCAGCCTGTGTCATATTTCACCCCTTGGCTCTGCTATCAGGACAGGACTTCAAGACCACTGCAGTAGGAACACTAATAAGTGGAAAAGTCAAGCTACCCAATTTAAGCAGATCCATTCCTATCCTCAAATATCCTTTCACACATTTCCAACTTACTCCACAGTCAAAGCTTATTTGTATGTGTATTATACAGGTACTTTAGCCAGATAAAGATTAAGAAACATTTTAAATCCAAACTGAAACTGAAAGCAGCGAACTGGAATCCTGGCAGGAAGCTGGAGAAGAGGATGACGAAGCAAATTCATTTCCCAAGAACAAGGCAGAAAGTGGACTTTAGCCCAAGTGATCTAACCCATCAAGCAGGTACACAGCTACAAATGTGGGGTACACAGCTTCTCAGAGTTCAGAGCATTTAAATTACTGGCTCACTAGGCTGAGCAACAGCAAGCATAGCCCAAACGGCTCCAATTCAGTGTCAGAAAGCAGACATGATAGCAGGTATTCTTGTTCAAAACAACATACTCAGCTATTATTAGCCAACAAGAAATTCTTCATGAAATGGAGCTGGCTGAGGTGATGGGAAAAGGAAAACATTGACCCAGCATTCAGTGTAGTCTAAAAGCTTAAACTGCCAGATTCCTTCTGTGTTTCTGCTCAAAAAAGTTTTAAATCTAATGTCAGATGGTTAAAAGTCCCTGAAGAACAAATGGAGGCAATGTAACAGTGAAAACAAGCATAGGTTAAGATGAATGGTGGTGCCAGGTGCAGTGGCTCACGCCTATAATCCCAGCACTTCGGGAGGCCAAGGCAGGTGGATCACTTGAGGTGAGGAGTTTGAGACCAGCCTGGCCAACATGGTGAAATCCCGTCTTTACAAAAAATACAAAAATTAGCTGGGCGTGGTGCATGCCTGTAATCCCAGCTATTTGGGTGGATGAGACAGGAGAATCACTTGAACCCAGGAGGCGGAGGCTGCAATGAGCTGAAATTATGTCACTGCACTCACTCCAGCCTGGGCAACAGAGTGAAACTCCATCTCCAAAAAAAAAAAAAAAAAAAGGATGGTGATTATAGTTGCACATTGCCAATATAGCTAATGCCACAGAATTGCATACTTTAAATGGTTAAAATGGTAAATTTCAAGTCATGAAGATTTTACCACAATTAAATAATTTTTTTCAAAGAGTATGGTCTTTAGGCCGGGTGCAA